GGAAAACACTAAGCCTTGTATATATCTGCATTAACATTAATTGGGCCTTCTTGTTGGGCCTTGAGTGTTGTGATTGTTTGCTGGCCCGGCTGTTCCAAGTTGATAATCTCCAATCCAGTCAGAAACGACGTCGAAACTTCGACAACAGATTCTTCGATCAACACCACTAAGTAACGACCTCGTTTTAATTAGAGCTTCATTCCTCAACTCACAAGAACCAGGTTCATTTTAATTAATTAATTAATTTATTTATCTAACTTTATTTTAGTATAATTGTTAAAATATCAACCTTACGCATATTTTAAAATTAATTTTAGTTTTAGTTCTCTACTGAATGGCTAGTAAACTTGTTCTATCGGAACTAGGAAAAATTAACAAATTTAATAGCAGTAATTATGATATGTGGTATAGAAAAATAGGATATGCTATTATTCATGACAACATTGATGATGTAATCGAAATCACTGCTCCAACCCTTACTGATAAATCAACACCTGAAGAAAAGAAAGGGCTTGAGCAGTGGAAGTCGAAAGACAAAAACGTGAAAAGCCTTATGCTCGTGTTCATGGAAGATAATTTAATCAAAGTTTTTGAAACTTATAAAACTTCCATGGACATGTGGAATGCAATAAAAGAAAAATACGACACTGCTTCTGAAGTTAACATTCAACTCCTCTTGCGTAAGTATAATTCTTGTCGTATGCAAGAGGGAGACAATGTCGTAGAACATATAAATAAAATGATTGTCATGGCTAAGGACTTATCCACTGTTGGGATCAAAATCTCGAAAAGAATACAAGTGGCAACCATTTTAAATAGTCTCCCCCCTTCACTTGCTGTGGCTGTCACCACGTTAAGAATGAATCATGTCATTAAGTCTGTTATTGATCTTCCTATGCACCTAGCGATAGAACATGACTTAATAGTCAGTAGGAAGGAACCAGAACTGAATATGGTACAGCAGGAGCTGAATTATGTCCGCCAGAAACATAATACTGGAAGCTATAAAAACCCTGGTTTTAGTAAACCACAACCGCGAGGACCGAAGTCACAACAATTCAAGAGAAAGAAAGTACCATGTGGAGCCTGCTACAATTGTGAAAAGTTCGGACATTTCAAGCCTAATTGCCCACAAGGTGAAAGACAGGAGAATAAGGGAGGCTATAAGCATCCAGAACAATGGGTACTAACAAAAGAGAATTCGTCGGTGTGACAGAATATAATGCTGTGATGACGGATATCAGTGGTTGGTGAATCGATTCCGGTGCAACTAGGCATATCGTAAAGGACAAGAAAGGAGTCATAGAATTCACCGAGCTTAAGAAAGGAGAACAGAGAATCTATATGGAAAATAATACCTATCTCGATGTAGAAGGTATTGGTTCATATAGATTGGATCTTGGGGACAATATTCTTGTCCTCAAAGATGTGTTCTATGCGGCAGGAATTCGGCGTAATCTGATCTCTGTTCCTAGCTTGATGAAGAAAGGACTGGAAGTTAGGTTCTATAATAACAGGGTTTCTATAGGCAAGAATAATAAAGTGTATGCTATGGGAAAATATGTGCCCGAGCATGAATTATGCATTCTTCCAGTAGTTTATAATAATTCAAGTGTATGCTATGGGAAAATATGTGCCCGAGCATGAATTATGCATTCTTCCAGTAGTTTATAATAATTATGATAATGAAATTTCGAATTTGAACTACTTGTCCTGTTTTATTTCTGAGTCTGAATTGTGACATTCTAGATTAGGACATGCTAGTATTTCAAAAATGAAAGAAATTATCAGAATGAACTTGCTTCCTGCACTACCTAATGTTCAATTGTCACCATGTGAACATTGTTTAACTGGTAAAATAGCTAGAAAATCTTTTATTGGCGGACAGAGAGCCAATGAACTTTTAGGATTAATACACTCGGATATTTGTGGTCCCCTAAGTATCAAAACTCATAGTAATAAAGAATATTTCATTATTTTTATAGATGATTATTCCAAGTTTGCACACGTCTATCTTATATCTAGAAAATTAGAAGCTTTTGACTGCTTTAAGAGATATAAGACAGAAATAGAAAACCAACTTGGATTGAAAATTAAAATTTTGAGAACTGATAGAGGTGGGGAATATAACTCTAAAGAATTTGAGAGTTATTGTATTCAACATGGAATTAAAAGGCATACAACAATGCCGTATACGTCACAACAGAATGGTGTTGCTGAAAGAAAAAATGGTACATTACTTAATGTAGTTAGATGCATGGTGTCTCATTCTGGTCTCTCTAAAAACTTTTGGGGGGAAGCATTGTTAACTGCAAATTATATTTTAAATAGAATTCCCATCAAATCAGTAGTATCTACACCTTATGAATTATGGAATGAGAGAAAACCTAATTTGAGTCATCTCAGGAAGTGGGGATCTATAGCCCATGTTCTCATTTTATGTCAACTTAGAGATAAGTTGGATTTTAAAACAATAAAGTGTAGATTCATAGGATATTCAGAAAAGTCAAAAGGTTATAAGTTCTACAATAAAAAAAAGGAATCATTGAAAGCAGAGATGCTACATTTCTAGAGAATCTAGAGGAAGAGGAACAAGTTCGAGAGGAAACAGAACATCTAACTGTAAGTCTGTAATAGATGATGATTATTACAGTGTTGTTCCCACTAATGACCCTGATATTGTGAATGAACCTAACCTTAAAAATGATAAAATACCTATGGAAAATAATGTGCCTAATCAACCGGTTGTAGGCAACAAAAGGCCAAGAACATAACCTTCATGGATGGATGATTACTATTTGTATTCATGTGAGTCATCATGTTTCTCGGTAGATACAAATATAGAATAACAAGATCCCTTAACCTTTTCTGATGCGATGAAATCGCATGAATCAGCTTCATGGTTAGAATCTATTCCATAGAAAAGAATAAGGTATTGGAGTTATGTGATCTATCAGAAAATAGAAAAGTCATAGGATGCAAATGGGTGCTCAAAAAGAAATATCGTGTTGATGGATCTATTGATAAATTCAAAGTACGGTTAGTTGCCAAAGGTTATAACCAGAAGACAGGAATAGATTTTCAGGAGACGTATTCTCCTGTAGCTAAATTTGCATCCATTAGAATTATTTTGGCTATTGTTGCATATTTTAATTTGGAGTTATTCCAAATGGATGTTAAAACTGTATTCCTTAACGGAGAGTTGAAGGAAGCAATATATATGCAACAACTTGAAGGTTTTCAGGTGAAAAAACAGGAACATAACGTTTACAAATTAATGAAATCTCTATATGGTTTAAAACAGTCTTCTAGACAATGGTATCTCAAATTTCATGATGCAGTTACTAAACTTGGTTTTATTCAAAATAAATTAGATAATTGTGTATATGTCTTGAAAAGTGAGAGCAAGTTTACTATATTATCCTTATATGTGGATGATATATTACTCGCTGGAAATAACATAGAAATGTTAAATAAAACCAAGGCAAATCTCAGCGAAAAGTTTGAGATGAAAGACATGAGAGATGCATCATATATTCTTGGAATTCAAATAATTCGAGATAGAAAGTCTAGAATGCTAAGTTTAAACCAAGAAAAATATTTAAGATCAGTTCTTAAAAGGTTTGGAATGAAAAATTCCAATCCGGCACCAACTCCGTTAGTTATGGAAAAGAGATTATGTAAAGAACAAAGCCCTGGAGAGGGGCAGAAGTCATTAGATGTTCCTTATGCTCAAGCAATTGGAAGCTTGATGTATGCAATGTTGTGCACCAGACCTGATATAGCTTATGTTGTGAGTCTAGTCAGTCGATATCAAAGTAATCCAGGACCAGCACATTGGGAAGCTGTTAAAAGGATTATGAAGTATATCAGAGGTACATTGACTCATAGGTTAGTTTATCAAGCTGAATCGCTTGAACTCCTCGGTTATTCTGATGCTGATTTCGGAGGTGATAAAGATGATGGAAAGTCCACTTCGGGACACTTATTCATTTTTGGAGGAGGAGCTGTTTCTTGGAGTAGCAAGAAACAATGGTGTGTTGCTAGATATACGCAAGAAGCTGAATACATAGCTTGTAGTATGACAACTACACATGCTGTCTGGATAAGACGGTTTTTGATTGATCTTGATCTCAATTTGTTGGAAGGACCTATTGATATTTATTGTGATAATCAACAATTAGCTTAATCAATAGTGGTACGAATAGCTCCAAAGGAAAACATATTGAGATCCAGTATCACTATATTCGATATATTGTAGAAAAAGAAGAAGTCAAAGTGACTTATATCCCTACTACAGATATGATTGCTGATTCTTTGACAAAAGGAATATCATCAAAATCTTTTATTAAACATGTAAGTTTGATGGGACTTAGTAATAAATAAGTTCAAGTAAAATTTCATGAATAATGAAATAAGAGTTACTTTCTACGGATAGTGGGAGTAATGGTAAGTAGAAACATCCGATCTCACGGATAGTGGGAGGCATGTCACTTGGTTGATTTGGTCAAGTGGGAGATGTTAATCTGACTTGGTCTTGTGTGACCAAATCAACGCTTCTCAAATGGAGAGAAACATGGGATATGGGGTTTGTTGAGAGAATCTCTCAGAGGCAGTTTGAGGGAGGTGGAGATGATGAGATTTCAGCTTATAAATAGTGGATTAATCTCCATGAGAAAACACAACAAAAAGAAAAAGAAAAAAGCAAACTCCTAACCTGTTACCGGAGCCTCCCTCAAAGATATCATCTTTTCTCTTCTCTGTGCTTCAAACACTATGTTCTGAATAGTTTACAAGCTGTGCCCTAATCACCCTTTTATAGCTAGGCAGTTGGGGTCCTGACGATTCGATCACTTAAGCGAATTGGGCCGGGTCTGAAAATTAGGCTCAAGGATCCTTGGTACCAAGTATACCCATTTTTCTCTCTCTCTCTCTCTCTATATATATATATATATATGTGTGTGTGTGTGTGTGTGTGTGTATACATATAAATATACATATACATATATGTGTGTGTGTGTGTATGAAGAGGAATAGGGGAAGAAAGGAGAAGCACAATATAAGGAAATAAGAGGAAAAATTAGAAGGGGAACAAAAGCTGCATGGCTTCTTTAATCAAGGTGTTGTAATGTGCACTCAATCCTGATGTGTGATGTTATTTACTATCTAATAGAAGAAATCAACAAGAGACTGCCACTATTCTGTGAGGAAAGTGTAACTTAGTTTTTGCGATCCAGTTACCAAAAGCTGTTGACACAAGTTGACAGTTTTAGTAATTTGAATAATTGTTAGCAAGCTATAGAACATTATAAAGTCTCCATTGAATTGTTAACAAGCTATAGAACATTATAACTCCCTCTTATATGTATCCTTATTGGATGGTTAATCGAAAACTTTTGTTCCCCAAAGGAAGTGACGTCATGGACAATGAGATAAGAAAAACATTTTTAGAGGAGAGACGAACAAATGGTGATTTCATATCAAAGGTTTCCGACATGCTATGGATTAGGGATATGTCAAAATTTGCTGATATGGAGACGAACACTTTGCATGAAAACCTTCAACAGCTGGACGAGGTAATTGTTCATAAATTTTGATCAGATTAGTGCCCATAATTTCTCCAAACTAACATAAAGTATGTTATGAATAATCACTATGCTTCTTGTTTGTGTAGATGGCAGACAAAGAAAGCACTGATGGTGGATTTTTAAAGCTTACAAAAACTAATGAGTGGGTTTCTGGTGACAGTGTTATTGCTCCAGTCAATAAGAAATTGACCGCTAAGGTCTGTCTTTAACTGGTTACATTTCCAAAGAGTATCAACATGAGATCAACATCTGTTGCTAAAATTTTGGAGAGATACCTTTTCTCAGAATTTTCGACATTTGGGGTATTTGATACCATGTTTGATTGCAGGATTGGCAGAATGACAGCGAGAAAAGGAAGAAGCTAAACTTTCTCAGATATGATGCTGTATGTTCTTTTCTTTCCTATTCTTGTTGGATTCAGATTATAACTTTTTAAGGCAGGCTTCAGATTCGTTTGTATGTATTTTGGTGGTTAATCCAGTATGCATAAAGCCTCAAATGATATTTTGTGAAAAATAACTGTTATTTGGTGATCTGACGGTTTTCATTTTACCCTTTCAGATTAAGAGGGAGTTGCTGTTTTTGACAATTGGCATTGGAACTGGTTGCTGTGCATACTGTTTAATAGTGTTTAGCATGGAGGTTGTCCATTTGACTTGCTACATTAAGTAATATTAAATTGATAACTATCATCAACACATTTCGTTATCGTCAAATGACGGAGAAGGTAATCTAAATATAAAACATTAATTTAAGAATGTAATTTATAATTTTTAGGCCAAGTACTATATTTCTGATGAAGTAAATGTCATGGAGATATATGGTTTTCTTTCAGCTTGTGATTATCTAGTTTTCTGATTACTTGATTTGTAAATCTAACAGGCTGCTGTCAGTTATGCTGCTGGAGTTTTGTTCAGGTGAGTCAGGGCATTATTGTTTTCTCTGATTCTGTGACGCCAATACAAAATAGCATGAATGATCATGACATAGCTATTAAGTATCCGATTTATACATTACCATCAGTAGCAATTAAGTATGCAATAATTATGAACACTGTTATTACCCGACCTAGATACTCTGGAAGCATCTATGTCTTGTTGCAGTATGCCCCCCCCCCCCTCTCCTCTCCTTTTATTCTTTTTGGAGATAATGGAGAACCTTAAGCCATAATTCTATAGAACAAAAGGCAAATATATTAAGGTTTGTTAATATTATGTTTCCTTTTGTAGGACTTTCCTATATTATTGTTTTCCCTTTCTTATTAGAGTCTTCCTTTCGTAGGACTTTCTATAGACATCCTACGCAATTTGTACATATAAAGGGCCATTACCTGCTTCAATGATCAATGAATAACATGATAATTCTTTCCTTAACAAAGATAACTAGACACAAGATTGCAGTACATTCAGCTCATGCTTATTGTCAGGTTTTTTTTAAAGAAGTATAAGCTGTAGTCAGTGCAAAAGATAAACTTGCAGTTTATAATTTTCTTTCTGTCTAGGAGATTTCTTGTTCTTGGCTTCGGTAGTACTTCTCTTGGTTTGTTCTGTAAAGAACTACTACATGACGCGATATTTTGTGGCTCTGTTCCTGCTACTCCAGTGGCTATTAGTAGATAAGTTGCTTTAAAACTTACCTGACAGCTGTTATTTCCTTGTAGAACAGTTGTTTGTACCTTCAGCTTCTGTATTATCACGCGGACAATCTCTCCAGGGAAGCAATACCTAAGATTTTTTTACAAAAGAAAGTGAAGAAGTAAGTCATCATCTGACTCTTTTTCATCTTCTATTCATTTTACTTTTGTGTGATTATGTTCCAATTCACATAGAATTGGGATAAGAAGCGAGGACCTGGAGAATACACTGGAGAAAATATTTCGGGGTAGCACAATGGCATTATCATCACCAAGGCTAGTGATACCTGCGGCATTATATGGCATTTGTATTTTATCGCAACATATCCTCAACAACTTTGAATTTCAGGTGATTGAGTGGATTTTAAAAAGTTTTGCTCGTAATATTGTCATCTTTTTTTTAAATGGCTTTGTGTTTTTTTTCTTCAACTGTTATATTTTATGATTTAATTGATTATACCTTCTTGACGAAGACATTTCTCTCAACCAACCTTCTCTTATTCATTTTAATAGTGACCATTTAGCTACCCTTCATGAAACAATGAACAAATTAGCTATCCTAAAAACATCGAAATGAACATAGAACAACTAAAATGATTTTCATCATACATGTGGCAACCGGAGTCTGTAAAATATTGTGTCCTTAACATGATATATCTTCTGACAATGATTTCTTTAAACTTTTAACAAATAAGTACATATGGGTAGGGAAGTGCACGAAGATGTCAAGAGTTTTATAAAGAGACTGATATATTGCTAGTTCAGAAGCATTGCGCGAATACAAGTATATTGCTAGTCCCAAAGCATTGCATGAGCAGAAACAATATTTGCCTTTTTCCCCCATCTCGTTTATCATATTTAATATAATTATGCTCAAAAGTATGTATCTTGAATATATGTTTCGTTTGGCAGATTGTTCCTGCAATGCTTGGTTTCTTTGCATATAAAGCTGCAGCTTTAGTTCAAGTTTACAGAGATAATGAGGACCTGAGGTTGATATTTCCAGAGAGTGAGGAATAATCCAGATGGCCGTTAACAGCGAGCAATGGAAATCCTGTTATCTCGTTTATATTATTTTGGCCTTTATTTTACCAAGAGGAACCTCAAAAAAAAAAAAAAAAAACTGTTGTTTGCTCCTGATTTGTTGCGGGAATGTAAAATTCAAGCAGATGGTAACGGTAGATAAATCCTCCTCAAGGAGGAGTCTCGAGCACTTTTTTCAACTGAGCAAGAGTTTTCTCCCTGTTTAATTTTTGAAATTAATGTAGAAAAGATTGAACAATTTTTCACTTCAGCCCCATTTAATTTTTTTATTATTAAAATCGATCCTTTTTTTTATTTACCAAAACCGACCCGATTTCTTGATTAGTAGCTTAATCACCTTCCTAATTAGTCGGGGTTAGCAACCTGACTATTTAGGAGGGTGTTAAACCTTAATTAGAAGCCTTAAATCCTAAAAATTAATGTCCTAAATAGTCGGGGTTGGTAACCCCGACTAATTAGGAAGGTGATTAAGCTGCTAATCATGAAATCGGGTCGGTTTTGGTAATAAAAAAAAAGGGTCGATTTCAATAATAAAAAATTGGAATGGGGCTGAAGTGAAAAATTGTTCAGAAAAGATTTCATGGAGATGCTATGGTTACATTCAGGGGAAAAAAGGCATTTGCAGGTTAATTGTATTCTTTCCATTGTATAATCACTGCTGAGTCAAAAGCAACCACAGAGAATGAGATGATCAAAACACATTTGCAGTGAGCTAATTTCCTCTCTTGGTATCTTTATTTGCTAAAGTTATATTTTTGGTAGAACAATAAATTCAAGGATTATCAAGTTACAAGAAATGTCAAACAATCAGTCAATCAATATTATACTAATGAAGTATAAATCTAATTGCATGCTTCTGTTATTTGGCAAATTCTAAGAACTCTACTATTTAATAACTAATAATAATATTTTTTTTTTATATTGTCTCATCTTGATCCGCTAGCCTGGCCGTCTTCGGAATCCCACTTGTCTATCTTTCAATTTCTTATAGATCATTTATTTTATTCTCTCTTTCTTAAAAAAAAAATCATATTTTTATCCCATAAGAAAATTAACTTAATCAAGTGCATGGCGCGTTTGATAACTAGTATTGTAATATACATTTTCCTTTCAAGAAAGAAATGTTTACGAAAGGGGAATAAACTTTCAATATATGTATACGAATTAGGAGCACCGATGGCATATTTACCTAATTCGATCCCATGAAAATAGCCCAAAATCGTAAATAGGAATATAAAAAGACAAGAATGACCTCTTTAGTTTTCAGCTCATTTTCCTTTTTTACCGACTTAATATTTTTCAAAAATAATTTGAGAGCACCGAAGCATTGTCCTTATAAAAAAAACTAAAATGGGGAGGGGGGAAATAAATAAATAAATAGCATAAGGCTGGTGGAAACAGCAAAACACGAGGCTTTTGTTTTTTGGCGGGAAAAGTGTTCGGATGGGAAGTACCCTAATTACCCCCCCGCAGACCCCATTATTACTTGCAAAGGTAGTAACTTTGTTGTTGTTAAGCTTTTTTTTTAACCGGGCAATTTAAGGCCCTGTTTGGCAACCAAAAAAAGTGGCTTATCTAAGAGCTTGTGGCTTATTGAGTTGATCAATAAGCTAGTAGAGCTGTTTGGTGACAAAAAATAAGAGGAGATTATTTTGGAGATTGTGGCTTTTGCAAGTAGCTTTTGAAAAGCTATCTCAAGTAGCGTTTGAGATTGGGAAGAAGCTGTCAATTATAATTCTCCGTTTTTGCCCCTTTAAATAGGCCAACCGAACCCAAAAAAAAAACCTCTTTCTTTTCCAGCGTGAAAACCCTTCTGCCGTTGATTCTTCTTCTCTATTTCGCTCTTTGATCCGCCTAGGAGAAGAAGGGTTTGGATTCTTGCTCCCTGCTCAAATTCAACTAATTTACTGATTGTGAGTTTCCTTCTCGATCTATTTTTCAATTTTGTTTTGTTCATTAGGTTAGGGTTCTGTTCCTTTGATGTTTGATTGTTGTGGCGATGATGGCATGCGATTTGGATTTGGTTGGTACTTAAATTTTCTGTATTATCGTTGTTTCTAGATCTAGCCATGTCTATCATTAGCCAATTCCCAGGAAATACTAATTAACAATTTTGTTTTGTTCATTAGGTTAGGGTTCTGTTCCTTTGATGTTTGATTGTTGTGGCGATGATGGCATGCGATTTGGATTTGGTTGGTACTTTAATTTTCTTCAAGTTAGGGTTCTACAAGTCTGTTTATGGCTTCTGAGTGTTTTTAAATCTTCTTTTGAAGTTTGGTGTATTTCATCTGTGTACATATTTATTTATTGTTGTTGGATCAAATTTTTTGATCCAAGACATGTACATTTTTTGCAATGAAGTATGATTCCTATGAATTTGCTCCTTCTTTGTTGCATACCCATATTAACTTGTTTTATGCCGAACCTCTGGGAGTGATTTTGTATGTTTATAGATATGACAAATTTCTAATGCAAAAAGATTGGTAAAATCCTTTTCAAGTACACTTGTAGCAATCTGACTGCTTTATGGTAGAATGATTCTTTGAGTTGGACCATGTGATAGTACTGCGGTATGAATGTTCAGTTTGTAGGAATTTCTAGATTACAGGTTTACTTCATAGTTAGACCTGAAAATGCTTAAAATCTGGTGTTAGACCTATTTATGGTTGGAATTTGTCATAAGACTTGGATTATATATTAGGATACGAAAAGTAGATTAGAGGATAAATTGTCCAAACAGGTACACGCATAAGGCATCAACCAGTATATTGTAGTGTGGTCGTAATTTATGCGTTTTCATCATTGTCTACTACTTCAGGATGACGATAGGACATTATGATGGATGCTCTCTGTGCAAGTTTACCATCAAACTTTTTCAAATCCTGAAACTTCATTTCAAATTAAGTATGATGTGAGCCTATATTCTATCAAAGTACCATTATATCAGACATCTAGCATGCCTCGTATGCTCAATTATATAAGCAATGAATAATCTTATATCATCTAATTTCTTAGAAGTGCAACTAGCACATTGAAAATCATGCAATCAATTTATTTGTCTTACATACACCATCGAATTCACATAATTAGTTTCAGCTTTAGTGAATTAGATGATATAACATTATCTAGAAAAAGGAGATCATTCTAGCCTCTACTTTTCGCAATTCTAGAACCAGTACTTAATTCTAGTGGAAATCCTGAACAAATTAGACAGGTATGCATCGTATATTCGTATAACTAGAAGAACAGAATCATCCATTACTATTTGCAAATGAAGTACATTATTCAAGTAGGTTTTGCACGAGTGTTCTCTTGCATGGCAATATGAACATCATCCTAATTTTAAGTCATTTCCTTGATTGATTTTAACCAGCAGATACAGATAATTAGACAGTAAAGTAATAATATTTGTATTATGCTAATATGCTAGCTTTGATTGTCTTATGTCATTGTTCGCTAATACAGAATTCATCTCCACTCATGTGTTTTATATTCATGTGTGTTTTTTCTATATTATAGATGGAATCAAGTAATGATAATGTGGACAATCAGAAAAACAAAGGTACTGATGATGCGGAGGGAAAGACATTTAACTGGACAAATGATTTCATGATTGTATTATTGGAGCTATGTTTGGCATTCGTTGCTAAGAATGGCCGCAATCAACTCTTCAAATGGAGAGACATTGCCAAAGACTTTGAGGCAAGAACTAATCGGAAAGTTAACAATTATAAAAGTTTAAAAAACAAGTATGATCAAATGAAGAGAGATTGGAGAATTTGGAAAGGTTTGAAGCAATCTGAAACTGGCCTAGGTTGGGATTGCATAACTGGAAAGCTTGATTGTTCCAATGAGTGGTGGGAGATAAAAATCAAGGTTAGTTGTTTTCTCACATAGTCATAATTGGTAAATTAAAGAAAAAATAATAATTTGTTTGATTTAATAGTTTATGATATTGTGTAGAAGAAACCTTAAGCTAAAAAATTTCGTAACAAAGGGGTACCACGTGCCATTGAAGAGCTATAGGATCAGCTATACTCAGATGTAGTAGCTAACGGGTTAGAATGCGTTACTCCCGGCATGAATCCTTCAAGTGTGGTTGTGAATGATGTACAATCTGGAAATGTTGAGAGGGTTCAAGCAGGTGTTGAAGAAGAGGGAACCAATAGTGAAGAGAGAGTACTTGGTGAGTATGAGGATTCTCAAGATCATGTTTACTCAGAATATAGTCAATACTCATCTCGCTTGGAAAACCTAGAAAGAAGTGAGGGTACTTTTTGGCATGAGTTTTCAAATGAAGTGCTTAATGCTGATAATCAACAACCTAACCAAAGCCAAGGTGTTACCCAAGTACCAACTAGTGATAGGAGGACTTCTAAAGAACCACAAAAAACTGCCACAAAAACAGTGAATTCTGTGCCAATGAAGCGTAAAAGGAGACAATCTACAGGATCAGCAATGATGAACCATCATCTTGAAAACATGGTTGCATTTTGTGGTCATGCAGCCCAAGCACTTGAGTCAGATTGTAGTGCTCCTGGTAGCGTGACAAATACTCAAACACCAGTGAATTGTGTTGTAATGGTGATGAATGTTCTTAACAATATGGATGGTTTGGAAAAGGGTAGTGCTTTGTGGTGTTATACTGTTTATTTGCTTGAGGATGCTATGAGAAGGGATTTTTTCTTTGCTATGGAGGATGATGCTTCTAGGTTGGCTTGGTTAAAGTTTATGTATGATATGAAGGACAAGTAAACGTTTGAACTATTATTTATTTGTTTAATTAGGTGTGGTAATTTTAGATATTTCAGCCGTTGTTTGTGTTTTATTAAGTGTTGAAGTTGTGTTTAATTTGGTTGCATGAATTCTTAATCTTATGGTTGTATGGACTGTTAAACTTTGTGGTTGTGTTTAATTTGCATTTTACCTTGTTTAGACTTATCTTCATTTTTTTAAACTAATCATTGTTTAGGTGTATTATGGATATGAAGAAAAGGAGGAAGAAAAAGCAGAGAATATTTTGGCTTATAACTGCATGTACAACAAGTGCTATAGCTACATATTACTACAAATACATTTACAAAGAACCATGCATGACTTCACATCAAAGAGGGGAAGATTGGATGAGAGAAATTCTAAATGGACATCCTATTCGATGTGTGAATGCCTTTAGAATGGAATCAAGAGTATTTTTGCTACTATGTGAAGAGTTACAATCCAAATATGGATTAACACCTAGTAGGAACATGACAGTGGTTGAAAAAGTGGGTATATTTGTTTATACTATTGCATTGGGTCTCTCTAATAGAGATGTTTGTGAGCGATTTCAACGTTCTGGTGAGACTATTAGTAGAACCATTACCCAAGTTTTAGAAGCGATTTGTGGTAGAAATAAAGGTTATATGGGTCTTGCACGGGATGTTATACAACCAAAGGATCGAAACTTTCAATTCATACCACCTCAAATCGCCAATGATACAAGATACATGCCTTATTTTAAGGTAAACATTATTGTAATTGATACTTAATTTGTAAATTTTGATACGTACCATTATTATAATGATGAAGTTTAAATTATAGGATTGTATTGGATGCATTGATGGTACTCATGTGGCAGCATGTATTCCCGAGGCTGATCAATTGCGTTATAGAGGGAGAAAAGACATCCCCACTTTCAATGTCATGGCTGTGTGTGACTTTGATATGTGTTTTACATTTTTGTCTGTTGGGTGGGAAGGATCAGCACATGATACACGTGTTTTTCTTCATGCGATTAACACGCCAACAATGAATTTTCCTTATCCTCGACAAGGTTTGTTTTTGTTTTTTGATTAAATTTATTTACTTCGATATATTATAGTCATAATATTTTCTTTATTTAATCTCACTTTTCTTAAATTTTAATATAGGTCGATATTATTTGGTTGATAAAGGATATCCGGATAGACTGGGATATTTAGTACCGTATCCCAAAATAAGGTACCATCAATCGCAGTTTCAAAGAGAGGCGCCAACCAATGCTAAAGAAACTTTTAATCGTGCGCATTCATCTCTTCGTAGTTGTATTGAGAGATCATTTGGAGTCTTGAAGAAAAGATGGAAGATTCTTCACCAAATGCCACAGTATAGTGTGAAGACCCAAATTGATATTGTTATGGCCGCATTTGCATTGCATAATTATATTCGCATTAACTCAGTCGATGATCCGTTGTTTACAGTGTTAGAACAACAACCAAATTATGTACCCGAAGATGAAACTCAAGATGAACTCGAGGATCCTGATGAGAATAGTAATTCTTCAAGAGGGACAACTTCTGAAATGAGGGAAGTTCGTGATAACATTGCTCGCTTATTATGGGAGTCAATGTGATAATTGCCTACAGTATTAGATGTCGTATTTACTGTTTTCTTTCAATTGACCTCTCAATATTTGTGTATTTTTCATAATGTTTTCCCTTATTATGTGATGATGGTTATTGTTTTTATCACGTGCATTGCATGTGCAATCTAACTAGTAAATAAATAAATAAATGAGTGTTGAGTAATTCTAATTTTATATCAATAATATTGCATGTCCTTTTTAGTCATTTATAAATTTAAGCTAGTTATACAGCTACTTTTGCCAAACAGCTCTACTTTAATCAGCTAGCTACACAGCTATAAGCTTTCAGCTATAATTTCACAGCTTTCAGCTAGCTTAACAGCTTTCAGCTATAATCTCGTAGCTTTCAGCTAGTTTTGCCAAACAGAGCCTAAGCTCCGAGCAAGACGGTATCCGATAAGGGCATTTTCGTCCACCCAAAGTTGCACACCCCCCTCGTGCTCTCTCCCGTGGAAAAGACGAAAACGCCCCCCCCACGTCACTAGATGGGGCGCATCGAATCCTGACCGTGCGATTTGGGACCAGCCTACTTCCGTTATTAAACAGAAGCTTCGGCGTGCCTGACACGTGACGGGAGCGACGTGCGCCCCGCATAAAAACCCTACGCGAAATTGTTCTACACCGTACGATCGAGTTATATCCAAACGTACGGTGGAGATATCATCAGAGCATAATAAATTTTGACGCCGATGAAAATTTTCGGGGGGGTTTTTTGGGGACCTCTTCTTGTTTCCATCCGAGAGAGATTCTAGGGTTGCGAGCCGAAAAGGTTCGAATCTTCGGTTATTTTTGTTCAGTTTTTCGTCTAGGGTTTTAGTTTCAGGACGTGCATTGTTTTTTTTTTTTTTGTTCTCTTCCTTTTTTTTTCTTTGCGTTTTCTTCGCTTTTTTCCGAGTGATTATGGAGTATTTAGGGTTTTGTTGAGATTTAAGTTAGATCATATGGGTAATGTGATGATTTTGTTGTTAATCAGTTAGTATCATCAGAGCAAGTTCATGGATATTGATTCATTTGATTTCTATAGAGTTTGTTTTCCTTCAAAACTTTTGATAAATCCTGCATGAGGTGTGCTGATTGTTCTGGTGGAAAACGTGATTATTATTAATTTATTATTATTTGGTCAGTTATATAACCAAATGATGAATTCCATTGCATTTGCAATTTATTCATGTGGTTTGTCTTTGTTTTTGGTTCAGATCTTTTGGTGCGTCTTGGTTTGTATAATATAGTCCTGAAAAGTATTTTGAATTTTAAAAAATTTCAATCTTAATTATGTTATGTTTCTAGTAAATCAGTCTTTCATATTAGTTGCCAACTTGAATATTCATATCGTGAACCATATGTAAACTATGTACATTTTGCTGCCAGCATTCGTGCGATATGTTTTCATTAAGAAAAATGATAGAGGCACACCGTTAGGCACACCATCAACCACACTCCCCCTCTTGCAACATTGCAGTGGCCCCACATGTGATTTTTTTAAAGAAAAATCACATGTGGGGCCGCTGCACTGTAGCAGGAGGGGAGTGTGGTTGATGGTGTGCCTAAGGGTGTGCCTGTAGCGCCTCCCTTTCATTAATGCTCTAAGAGACATGGCCTGCCCTCCGACTCTCCTCTTACTATGCATCTTCACTGGACATTTATTTGCTCTCTTCTATGCTTTGATTTAGCCATGAGTGCCACAAAGTCCAAATGTAATTCGATAGTTTTAAGGCCTTTCTTATTTGGCAGGTCAGTAATTGAAAATGAATTCTCCAACCGAAGATGGGACGGAGGGTTTGCCGCCTCCGCCACCAGTGCCACCTGGGGTGGTCCCAATCAAAGCTGATTCGGAAAGATGCTCGCCACCTAAGAAACCATCAACTCCAAAGCGTATTCCAATGCCCAGACGCGGCTTGGCTAAGCGAGGCCACCCTATACAACTTGTTACAAATCATTTCAAAGTTTCTGTTCGGAATGTTGATGATTACTTTTACCACTACAGTGTATGCCCCTGTTTTGCACTTCTATTTATCTGTACAAACTTGTCTCCTTTCTGAGCCTACCTACTTGATATGATATTGACTGCTTTTATCCGATATATGCAGGTAAACTTGAAGTATGAAGATGATCGGCCTGTGGATGGTAAGGGGGTTGGCCGAAAAGTTATTGACAAATTACACCAAACCTACGATAGTGAGCTTGGTAACAAGGAGTTTGCTTATGATGGGGAAAAGAGTTTGTTTACAATAGGTTCCCTACCACAAGTGAAGAATGAGTTCCTTGTTGTTTTGGAGGATGCATCATCGAATAGGTGCTTTAATGCTTTGTTTGCGGCATTCGTTCATAGTTGCTATACTTGATCCGTATTCTGGGCGCTGATATTCTGTTTCTTCTCTACCTTCCTTTTCGTTTTAGAACTGCTGCCAATGGAAGCCCAGGTGGAAATGACAGCCCAGGGGAGAATGACCGTAAGCGTTTGCGGCGTCCCTACCAGACAAAGTCCTTTAAAGTTGAGCTGAATTATGCTGCAAAGATTCCAATGCAATCAATTGCAATGGCTTTAAAAGGCCATGACACTGAAAACTCTCAGGAAGCACTGCGAGTGCTTGATATCATCTTAAGACAGCATGCAGCAAAGCAGTATGTTTTTTTGCTTGTGATATTCTATCAGTAATTCACTTTTTCTGTGATATACAGGTGGTTTTGAGTTTCTTTTTCTGAAGGCATTACTTCTTGTAGGGGTTGCTTGCTTGTCCGTCAATCCTTTTTCCAGAACAACCCTTCAAACTTTACTGATATAGGTGGGGGCGTCTTAGGTTGTAGAGGGTTCCACTCTAGCTTCCGAACCTCCCAAGGTGGCCTGTCATTGAACATAGGTAATTTCTTTGTCACTGCAGAGTGTTTCAGGCCATTGTATTTTGGTGGGTTGGGTATCTTAGTAAGTTCTTTTTTGTTTCATTTATGTTGCCTAATGCCACGCTTCTTGTCTGCAGATGTCTCAACGACCATGATAGTTAAACCAGGGCCTCTTGTTGATTTTATTATTGAAAATCAGAAAGTAAGGGACCCATTTTCAATTGACTGGGCAAAGGTAAGTTCAAATCGATCCAAGAGTTTATGATTCTCTTTTTTCCTATATGACTGCTTCTCTTTAGCTCTCTGATATGCATTATTCGTTGTCTTGTATGTTAACAGGCGAAGCGTATGCTTAAAAATTTGAGGATAAAGGCAAGTCCTACAAACATGGAATATAAAATAGTTGGTTTAAGTGAATTACCTTGCAACCAGCAAATGTAAGTTTTTCCTTCCTCTTCACAAACACAACACGTCATGCTTTTATATCCAAACTGTGAATCAATTGGCACAATGCAAGCATCAAGTGGATTTCTGTAACTCAAGATGTTCTCATTGATGTTGCTGTATCTGGCTTTGTTCTTGCAATCTTGCTCACCTTTCTGCAACTCAAGAAGCTCTTATTTGCCAAGTTACCTTGTGTCGCAGTAAAACAAGTCGCATTACTCCATGTAACTTGTGTCAGGAAGCTAAATGGTGTTACTCAGCTTGTTTGGATAGTAACTCTTGTGTATGAATTACCACCTTTCACATTTTCTATTCCTTAGCAATAGCTAGCAAATAGCAGAGCTTGGATTGTAGTATCTTTATCTGCAAGCAACCAATTTACTTTTTTCTTATGTGATGTCTCAATTCATTATGCATGCAACTCATGTCATCATTGTCAATTGTTGCAGCAAAGCAAATCGCCCTTAAGTTGCAAATAAGATGTAATCCTATTTCTGTGGCTGACTGTCACTTTGAAGCTGTAGTATTATCTGAGATTTTCTTCCCCAAACACTGAAAATTTCTGTGTTTAGTTGGTAGTTCTTTTATATGTTATGGTCACTTTTGCAGTTATGTTTGCAGCTTTTTACAGTTCGGATCCTTTTCGTTTCTGCTCACTATACAAATCGATTTGCCTTGTCGCTGGCTATTACTTTGAGTTTATAGTATATTTTGAGTCTTTCTGTTCCAAACATGGAAAATTTCTGCGTTCAATTGGTAATTCTTTTATATGTCGTGGTCAATTTTCCAGTTTTTCTATGTTTCCCATCCTTTTTGTTTTGTGCTCACTATACCAATTAATTAATGATAATCATGCTGTTTTATTATCTATGTTTGCTAGTGCTTCCCTTATCTCATGATTTATTATTTGCACAGGTTTACTCTGAAACAAAGAACTGCCAAAGATGCCAATGGAGATTGTGACGCTCACACGACAGAAATTACTGTTTATGACTATTTTGTCAAACACAGAAATATAGAGTTGAGGTATTCCGGTGATCTTCCTTGCATCAATGTTGGAAAACCGAAGAAGCCTACTTACCTCCCATTGGAGGTATTATGAACTAATGTGTACACGTTCGAGTATCTCAGTTGTTATCTTATTGTATACATTATGCCTACTAAATTCAACTTGGATTTTCTTCCCTGCAAAGCTATGCACCCTGGTGTCTCTGCAAAGATATACAAAGGCATTATCCACTCTCCAGAGATCTTCGCTTGTTGAAAAGTCGAGGCAAAAACCTCAAGAGAGAATGTCAGTTTTGAGCAATGTAAGTTCCTGTTATAATGTCTGAACATACATATCAATTATGAACTTTCATTAAACATCCAGTTATGTTGTAGGCACTGAAGTACAACAACTATGATGCTGATCCCATGCTTCAAGCATGTGGTGTCTCTATCAGCGCACAGTTTACACAGGTTGATGGCCGTGTGCTACAAGCGCCTAAGGTTTGCTTACATCCTTTATCTATGCATTATTTTTGAAGATGCTTATTGATTTCAACAATAAGTTGTTATTTTGCAGTACTTCCCCAGTCCCTTAGCGGAATAACTTTGTTCTTTTGTTACAGTTAAAAGTTGGGAATGGGGAAGACTTCATGCCCAGGAACGGGAGGTGGAATTTCAATAACAAGGTTTTCTTTTATCACAATCTTTTGTTGAAGTTCTTTTTTTTTTCTTTTTCTTTTTTTTAAACTAGAAGTAGCTGTTTTGCAGAAACTTTTTGAGGCCACTTGTGTAGACAAGTGGGCTGTTGTGAATTTCTCTGCTCGTTGTGATATGAGAAATCTTGTGCGTGATCTGATCAAATGTGGGAAGATGAAAGGAATTGTATGTGCTCATTTCTATGATCATATTGTTTAAATGAATACTTTTCTTTGACCCTACTGAAATTTCTGTGTTGCTTAATTTATAGCAAGTAGATGACCCGTTTGTTGTGCTTGAGGAGAATCCTTCTATGCGGAGAGCCCCTGCTCCTGCAAGAGTTGAAGATATGTTTGAGCAGATAAAGTCAAAGCTTCCGGGAGCTCCCAAATTTCTACTCTGCCTTTTATCTGAGCGCAAAAATTCTGATGTTTATGGTTTTTCTCTTTTTTCCTCCCTCCATTAAGCATAGTTTTTCAGCCTGTCACATCTGTGTTGGCTCATATGTTCAAAATTTGTGTATAATACAGGACCTTGGAAGCGAAAATGTCTTGCTGAATTTGGAATTGTGACACAATGCATTGCACCTCAAAGAGTTAATGACCAATACCTTACTAATGTTCTACTAAAGATCAATGCAAAGGTAGGTCAAATTTTAGCTTTCACTGTTCAGTTTTGTTCTCTGCCATTGCTGCTGCTTAACTTTCACTTTCACAGCTTGGTGGAATTAACTCATTATTGCTACAAGAGCGCATGACAAAGATCCCCCTTGTTTCTGAGTCACCGACACTTATACTAGGCATGGATGTATCACACGGCTCACCTGGACATTCTGATGTTCCATCAATTGCTGCGGTGAATTGCTTGAATTGCTTATTTGCCTTGCTATATTAGACACATTATCTGTTGATATATTACTTCAATGCCTATGCTAATGCAATTGTTTTTCCCCCTGTCTATATGGTGATATTTTCTTATTCTCTATCTTATATTTATCATTGTGGTTTATCATTATTTCTTTACTGTACTAGGTTGTAGGCTCACGTCAATGGCCTTCTATTTCTCGGTACAGAGCTTGTGTAAGAACCCAAAGTCCTAAGGTTGAAATGATAGATTCTTTGTTTAAACCAGCAGGTTCTGATGATGATGGCATTATCCGGTGAGGCCTTTGATTAAATATAATAATTTCTTCTGTTAATATTTTACTTATTTCTGTAACTGACACGCTTAGTTCTTAACCATAGGGAACTTCTGATAGATTTTTACACAAGCTCCGGAAAAAGGAAGCCTGACCAAATTATTATTTTCAGGTATGTTTTTTTTAACTCAGCTTCTACAAGTTTTGCCTTTTCAGTTTCTTTCTTTAGCTTCCATGTGACACTTCAGTGATATGAATGATATGCTTATAACATTATTATATACAAAAAATGAAGTGTATAATATACAGATGCTTTGAGGATCTACTTTTGTGGCTTCTATAACATTGTAGTTATATATGACTTTTACTCATCATTCTTATATCAATATGTTGCATAATCAAGTACTGATTTCCATCCTCAGCGAAAATAGTTAGAATAGAGGCTGTTCTTGGAATGTAGGATGAATAACTTATTCTTGTTTTGAGCTTGGTCCCTTCTTCCTATTACTTTGTGTTTAGTTTATCTATCGCTGGATTTCAGGGATGGTGTGAGTGAATCTCAGTTCAATCAGGTGTTGAACATCGAGCTGGATCAAATTATTGAGGTCTGTTACTTGGAAATAGCTGCAATCCAAAATAATGAGTATCTTAATATGACATTTTTTTATGATATGGTTTTATGGGAGCTTCTATTCTATTATGTTCAGGCATGCAAATTTCTTGATGAACAATGGTGCCCTAAGTTTTTGGTGATAATTGCCCAAAAGAATCACCATACCAAATTTTTTCAGCCAGGATCACCTGATAATGTTCCACCTGGTTAGTTTCATTGTATGCTTAATTTTGTCATTTAAAGTTTCAAATGTATCTTAAAAGACAGTTACTTGCTGTTACTTTTAACTGTAACTTATTCTGCTTCCACAGGTACTGTAGTTGACAACAAAGTTTGTCACCCTAGGAATTATGACTTCTACATGTGCTCTCATGCAGGAATGATTGTAAGTTTTAGATATTTCGCTAATCTAACCTTCAAAAAAAATTGTTGTCAATTGAAATTAATTGAGGTGAGGTTCATTCATTTTTCTCTTGAGGATGTTAAATATTTCCTTGGGTTTTCTTTCTCAACTTTGGATCACGTTTAGACTTGTAGCAACATATTCCTTTGTTATTATTGCCCTGTTCATTCTATAAGTGTCCTTTGACAGGGAACCACACGTCCAACACACTACCATGTTTTACATGATGAGATTGGCTTTGCACCAGATGATCTGCAAGAGCTTGTGCATTGTTTATCTTATGTGTAAGTAGCACTAGGTTTCTTTCTGGAATTTGATAGTTTGAACTTAAATTGACTAACGCTAGTATAAAAATTTGGACATACAGGTACCAGAGGAGTACCACTGCCATTTCTGTAGGTAAGATGACATTTTGTTTATTTTGATGTTTCTCAGTTTTGATGATTTGTAAATATTGGGCACAAATTCCTTCATAACCATGAAACTATTTTACACTTAAAATCAAAATATTCTCTTTTCCATTCGACATTTTATGTGGACGCCTACAGGCCATTTTACAACCTACTTTAATTTCTGTCCATAACCATGCCTTTTTTCTTTGTTTAATTCTAATCAGATAGATTTTTAGACTATTTTTAATGGTATTACCTGTACAAAACCGTTCTGATAGAGCATATGTTATACAACTGATGGTTTCCTATTTAACTGGTCCTAATTTGTAATAAGCTGCATTAAAGCTTTGATTTTTTTTTATACACACATTAGGGCTTTGATTTATTATACACAAAGATAATCCACCTCTAATTAATCAAACAAAGCCAGTTCCATTGTGTAAATGATAGTGTGTAGTTTAGAATCAAGAAGCTGTCCAACCTAAAATGATACGAGTCGTAGAATTTGAATATACCATGATATATAATACGGTCAAATTCCCACTACTAATACCTTGCCTGCCTTGCTAGCGTATGCATTTCTATGTATCTTGGTAGCTTGTTTTTTTCTAAATGAGATGTGGCAACTTAAACCCAGTGTGGCGGTGTCTCTTATTATTATTACTATTTTATTTTTTTTAATTTTTTACTTGCTGTAACTCTGTTCTCTACCTTGGATTTGGCAACATCACACATTTTAATGTGTTATACTATGTCCTGATGATGTTCATTTTCCTTTAGTTGCTCCAGTTTGCTATGCGCACCTCGCAGCGTCCCAGATGGGCCAGTTTATGAAATTTGACGACATGTCAGAGACTTCCTCGAGCCATGGGGGGGTTACGGCTCCTGGGGCAATTCCTGTGCCAGAGCTGCCAAGGCTGCATGAAAAGGTTTGCAGCTCTATGTTTTTCTGCTGAAGCGAAGGGAAAGCTACTTTCCTATGTTCTCCGGTGGCAGTGCAGACTGTACTGATGTTGGAAAGATGGGAGAAGTTTTATTGCGTACGCTGCTTCAAAACTATGGTCTAAGTTATCTTGAAGGCGCACCAGGGTATATACAATGACGTTTTTGGATGCTACTTCAAGCGCTACACAGATGCTAATTTTGCTTTTTGGGCGACTTTGTGGTAGATGCCGACTATTGTTGGTTTACATTTTATGTTTTAGATGTGGCATTGACCTTGCATTTTTTCCTCTACTGATCCACGTATCATACTCGTGCCATTTTTCTCTTATTCTTGCCCTGCTGTGTGTATAGTATTTAGTTTTTATGTTGCATCTACAACGTTTGAAATGCAGGCCCTAATCACAAAATCAGAAAGGGCGGAACAAGGGAGTACCGGTTATGCCCTTTGATCTGGAAAACAATGATTTCTTCTAACAGATTTTTGGCAGGAAGTTGCATTTAGTCATCCGAATCTGCAACATTCTGCTGATTGTTAAGTTGATTGTTGTATTAGGACATAATTGACTGAAGACATAGCAGGAAGTATGTTTCTTCAGTCAGGCACAGGCACAGGCACACTGAGGGTCCTATCAAAATCATCCCTACAAGAATGAGATTGGTTTTAACCGTTATAAAATAGCTAAAATTCCCAAACTAACCTCCCAACCACCCATGTATCGTATAAATCACTCTATTTGTAGGAGGGGTTTTGATAGAATCTGCACTCCTTTGTACACTTTACTTTGCAGACCTTATTCCTTAGAAGATGTGGTTTCATACATTCAGGTAGAAGGTCAGTTACTCTTTAATTATTGAAAAATTCATAGCAACCCCAAGCTTTAGCCTTTTATATTACTACAAGCTTCATCAACGCACTTTTTTCTTTTGGGGGTGGGGGGGCTAGTCTCAATTTTGAGAATTTTGTTCCAGAAACATACCAACTTGATCCCTAACCATCTGCAAATTCAAAAAATGACCATGCAAAATCATGTATTTTAATATTGCTATATATCCAGGCTGACGAATTTCTGTTATGGTTTAAAGTACCATTGGTTCAAGGTTGAAAGGCACTTTCCTCCTCATACTAGCAGTATATATGGAGCAGTATTGTATGGACGAAACAGAAATATAATTCACCAGAAATGTTTTAACTTATTTTAAGAACAGGAGAAAAATCTCAGCTCAAAACTGTTTCAAGAAGAATTAATGACAACTCCTGAGCACACCATTGAGCCAAAATTTGCTGTATACATGTAAATAATTGGCATCGCAACAACAATGAATTTAAGAATAGAGAAACAATTATATTTCAATGGAACTAATGATACATGAAGTTGAAATAGTCGACCTACGTAATATACTTAAACATAGTTTTGAAGGTGATGTCGTCTGCTACTTGTAAGTTTGAAGACAGCGAACCAACCATCAAATTGCTGTGACTGAGTATATAAAACTGCAAATTTTGTAGTAAAACCCTTAATGATCATCTCCTTAACAGCTTCAAGACATCACCCACCAGATGCAAGGATCCCGTCACGAGAACCTTCAAAGAAATATCATTCAAATCATGTCATCATCCTCCCCTGATATTGTAGATATTCCTTCGAAATATATGCCAGTGTAATTTCCTATTAGGTTAAGATGACACATGGGAATCATGCAAGTAGATTAATCATGTAAGTAGATTATTACTATAACGGTGAGGAATTTATTGCCACGTGACTACTGCATGACATCTCACCCTAGCGGAGAAATAATAATGCCCGAGGGTCGGGGGTTAAGTATAAATTAGTTTAGCGAGTATAAATGGCAACATCTCATAGTATGGGAGGGTCTTGCTTGCATTTAACCCATATACAAGGGTACCATATTTTGAGAGAGAATTTATAATTTGTATAACCTTCTTTTACCACTTCATAGTGATTTTATTTACAACTCTATTTGGAAATAATTAATGTGCAACTCCAAAGAGTTTTAGAATCTTGCAATTTACGAGAAATATTAGAACGCACACAATTTCTTTTCACAAGCACATGAAAGACCAAACAAAACCACACTGCGCTGAAAAAATAACTTACTTATTACATGAAAATTTGACCTTACCTGAAGCCGGAGAGAAGGGTTGTCCTTAACACAATCTCTTAACCATTTTATTGTCAATGGCAATGATGGTATCACTGCACTGCTAGGGTAATTTTCATTTAGAAATCCAGATGATGGTAAGTGCTCAGGGCTTTCAATTTTGTAGCAGTTATTCAGACTCACATCTGCAAAGGAGGTTAAACAGTAGAATTAAGACAGTAAGAGACAAGTTTTGTTAGAAGACATACGATGAAATCAATGTTTGTCATGATATAACCAAAAGACCACATAGAGATATGCATGGTAGGATATTACTAAAGGAGTAAAAAGAACAGCATGTCTAGCTAAAGATAAAATTGCAGACAAAATTTGCATAAATTCAAAAAAAATTATTTTATTTATAAATTAGTAAATGATTCGTCTCCTCCTTTTGAAACAAAGGCTATCGATACCTGTCATCAAACTAGTACATCCAATAGCCAAACCCTCCCTTTAACATTGCTGATATTATGCAGTTCCACGTGTTTTATGATATTATGCAGTTCCTCGTGTTTTATTACAATATAAACAACTACCTATGGAGTAGTAAAACTTGTTAAACTTTGACCAAAGAAAGTTTGCAGAAAACTTCTGAGTAAATACTTGCTGAAAAAAATATGGAAACAAAGGAGAGTTTGGTCATAATTTAATTCCCTAACCTTTCTTTAGTATATCATTAAGATACAAGGCATTACATTGTAAAAGCCTGGAGATCTACCATCATAATCTAATTACCTAACCTTTTTTTTTTGATATTATCAGGAAGATACAAGGCATTACATTGTAAAAACCTGGTTACTTTAAGTTGAAATGGCAAATGTTAAGGCAAATAAAAACTAATTCTAACTTGAAGAATCTAACATGGGCAGATTGACAGTTAAAGTATGACCTCACCTTTTCCATGGATTAATTTTTCCCAAGTTTTTTGAAGTGTTGACTGCCATGTTGTATCCTGAGAAATATCTGACGATACTGCAGAAACAGCAGAATTGACTCTATGATATGATGACATGCAAGGAGCAAAAAGAGCTTTTGAGAAATGAACACCTGTCAAGAAGAGAGAAAAGTCAGGAAGAGAGAACATAACTCACCTTGTGAACATGATCTATCTTTTTTATAATGCAAAAGGCCGGCTATGTATCAAGTTTCAAGGCCTCATGTATCCTTTAAATCTTTTGGGAACTACCTCGAAAAAAATAAAAATAAATCCTCAACCTCATGCCTACTGAGGCTAGCTTTTGTCTTGCTTCGACTGATGGATCTTACAGTATCTACCTCATAGGAATGTCCTATGTAATAACAATATATATACAGAATCAAATCTTAAAGTGTAAGAACATAAGCAGTGGATCTTATATCAACAATCTCAAAAGAAAAATAACATGATGCATATCTACGAAAGGATGAAAAATAAAACATTATATCATTACAATTAGCTGAAGATCTCTATTTCAAAGTATAATGGAGATACAATCAAAATGGGAAAAATAGATAAGTCAATTATTACACAATTACAAAACGTAGAAAAACTCGACTTACATTATATAACATTCTACAGAAGGTAAAGAAAACTTGGGAAAACAGAAGCACAAGTGTTGATGAGTTGGGGAAGCAGAATCTGGGGGTCTCTCACTTCCATGCAATTAAATAGAAGAACCTATCGTAGATGTCAAATGAAAATATATCAGAAACATATTTTTCTCAACCATCCATACAAAGCAAATGAAAAGAATGCTCAAAGTGCAAGCATCTATGACTATTTTCATATTCGTATGTGGAAAATGTTACATAAACAGTGTTTAAGATCTTACCCTTTTTGAAATTTTGTTTGATCCATTACAGTGATTGTTCACAGTCTGACCATTGCACTGTCGTCGATCAATGAAGTCATGCTTTGATGAATGCTGATTATCTTTCACAGCATTTGCAAACCATCTTGCACAAACTTCCATGCTTTCTGGACTATGGGCACCATCAAAGTAAAATATCAAAC